AAATATGAGCAGACCAAACTTAAAAGGCATTTGGCATATCATGGTTAAGATCGTATTAGGATTCCAATTTTTCTCTTCACCTAAGGAGAGCTCCGAAGGTAAGAAAACTGTCCTTCTATGTATAAATAATCAATATATTTGCGTTAAAATTAGCAGTACTTCCTAATCAGTGTAAAATATAGAGATAACGATCAGCATTCAATTTCATAGTCCATTTATATCATACATATTGGGAACAGAGCAAGGGCGGATCTCAAAAAAGCATAAAAAGTGGGATCATGATGCCATGAAGGAGAACGCATCCCTTGCAAACTGGTCACACCCGCTGTGCGCTCCTTATGTCGTGATCGTGAAAGACGAAAAAAACGTAAACAATTCAACAATGACCTAAAATTAGTTGAGAATTGTCAGTCAGCATTTGAATTAATAATAGGTTGTGTTTGTTACAACAAGGTCATTGTTTTGACAAGCAAAAGGCCCAGAGGTCACATCGCTCACCGGAGCAACTAGCTATGTAAGCAAAAATCGGTTCAGTATTGAAAAGTTTAAATATAATCATAAAAGTGGGTTCGAGGGAGTAGGAAGGGGGATTTGAACAAACTTAAATCTACACTTCCTAAGAATGCTTTTGAATTAATATGACATATAATGGCTTTGCTGTTTTTAAGATGAAAATTATTGAGATCAAATTCAAAGATATCAGAGAGTCCGACACATCTGGTTCATATTTAGATATTTCACTGGAAAGAGACGTTAATGGTGATCTCAGAACCAAGCTCTATGATAAACGTGACGATTTTAACTTTTCTACCGTCCCTTACTCATGCAGCAATATTTACCTTTGCTATGTTTTATTTCTAGTAAGCCAACTGTGAAATTAATTTGAATACCATTCTCGTGTATACTCACGGGTAGAAACTAACACGGAGAAACCTGTGCTGACGTGACGTCACAATGAGGCTACGGAGACGTCAGTAGAAATATGACAATATGAGGCAGCGAGAAATTCAAATGATTATAGTTATTATTTTTGGTGTTTTAGACATGTAAATTGTAAATATAATGAATAGACAATTTGACAAAGCGGCCTCCACTTTATGGAACTCTTTGCCTTTGTATTTAAGAAAGTGTGACTCACTTGGAATTTTTAAGAAAAAGCTTAAAACTTTTCTTTTTAAAAAGGCCTATGATTTCTAAATTGTGTATCTAAGACTTTTATCATATTTTGGACACATTTTAAATTTTTATAACCTTTTTAGTACTTTAACGTATATTGGACACTTTAAAAAATTTTTTCATATATTTAACGTATAATTTTCGAATGCGACTGCTGTAAACTTTTAAGTTCTATTTGTTTTACATATATTGCTTGTACAGCGCCTTAGAGTTTAATATATAGGGCGCTTTATAAATGTTTAATAATAATTTAATAATAATAATAATTTGTTAGTTTCGTGTTAATTATTGGTGTATAAATCACACAGACTTGCACTAAGCATATTTTTCATGAAGCGCTAGCGACGACGACGACACACAACTGACAAATGATAAGAAAAGCACACTTGAGCCTTCGGCTCCCGTGAGCTAAAAAATTGCCAAATGATGACTTCAAACGAGGCTGAATGATTCCCATCTTCAAAAATTGTTGTTGAAGGCAATCTGTATTGAACAGCATATGAAAATCCCCCTCCTACCGAAAAACAGATAAACCACAGTATTTTTAATCAGCAATATTTACATTTGCAAATATCTTTCAGAAATGAACTTAATTATTCGTTCAACTCTGTTTGAATTTCATTTAAGGGTCAGAGGTCATAGCGCGACCGGATTAGAGAGCGATGTGATATTTTGATCAAACAACTTCTAGGTTATTGCGCGTCACTACATAGCAATTCGTTGGCCCGTTCGTGTAATAAATGCAATTTAACTCGAAATGCATCCGTTTCAAATGTAAAATAATATAAATAATAAACAACAATGTTAAAAAGTTCACTGGAAAATGAACTTTTAGTTGGTACGTGATCAAATCTACTGAGAAGCCCTTCGGGCTTCACAGGATTTGACCACGTGACAAACTAAAAGTTCATTTCCCAGAGAACTTTTTAACATTGTTGTTTATTTCTTAAATATACGTATTCATGTTATCCTGAAAATTTTCATAAATTATTTTTATTACCTAACCTAATATATATAATGTAATTAGGCATTTTGAATTATTACCTAACCTACTATATCAATTGTAATTAGGCATTCTGAACTGTTTCTCGATTTATTTTATGTTTTTGCGTGATCATGAAACAGTCGAACTGTTGACCGGGCCACACAATATTCTCTTCTGCGTAAAAAAATTGTGTGAAATATTAGTAAGCTGTTGACTTGAGGAAAATCTATTGTGCCGCTTGGAAGAAGGATGGGCGCATGTATGCAAAGAAAACCATGATTTCTATCCACTATGTTTTACAGAAATCATTTTATAAGTCCCATGGCATTGATATAATAGATGATCCTCAATTGAAGACGGCAAATGACGATTGTTGATACACATAAACATGATAAAGTCTTTCTCTCCCAAAACAAGTTGGCTCTTGTTAAATATATGAATTTGATTTGGTAAGAGTATAACAAAACAGTTGGGAAACAGTCGATCTGTTGGACCAGAGTGCAAGCTGTTGCCCGCGGTCTGCCGCGGGCAACAGCTTGCACTCGATCCTGTCCAACAGATCGACTGTTTCCCGAGACCCCAGTCAACAACTGTATACTGTTGCCTGTTTAAAGCGTCATCGTGATATTCAAGCGTTTTGATGATCACGACATCACTATTTACCTGCTATTTGATTAACTGAATTGGAATAAAACACACAGACAATCAATTTATTAAGTAAAAAAACTACCCCAGTTTACTCATTTATCTAATCAATATATGCCACGGAATTAACAAAATTAATTAAGCAATTTAATGCAATACTCTAAATGAATCAAAAGTATTTGAAAGGAACATGGAAACAGTTTCAGCTAAAACATTTAACATATTTTTGCATTTTGTTCCTGTTTACAAGGGTTTTTGTAATGATCATTAAAAATATGTCATGAATTTCAGTTGTGGAGACACAAGACAGATTTAGAGCTCAAAACCTCTGTTATGTAAACAAAACTCGTGTCATGTTTTTATTAAAATAAGTTAAATATACGAACATATGTTTATTCAAATCATATTTTTTCAATAAAGAAGTTAATTCTAGATACGATTAGACAGTTTCTAGTGATTTGATGAATCTCGTTTTGTTACACATGAAAATGATATTTTCTTTATTTAAACAAGAACAAGGCAAGAGCTTTGTTTTCATAAAGAAGAATTTTAAGTTCTGTATCTCCTTTGTAAATCAACAAAGGGTGTTCAAATTTTTGCTGATCATTAGAATTGCCTTAATAAGTTAAGAATTGTAAACATTAAAATTGGTTTTGAAAAAAAATCAGTTAAAACTGTGACCATGTCCCTTTGGATCCAAACATCAAACAGTGCGCTGAAAATAGATAAACAATAAATCGAGAACAATACTGAGTTAATATAAAATGTTGGATTAGAAACATTCAATATCTTTAATTACTCTGATCAATAATTAAATATTAATATATATATATATATTTTTAATTTGGAAAAAGTAAAGTATAACTTCTACTCATGGATTTGGAATAAAATGAAATCAGTCAATATCGATGTCATTGTATTTGTGAAAGATGCTGTTATTTATGAATCAACAGTTGAAAATTTTATATTTTTAATATTTTCTTTTTAGACAATGAAATACGAACCTGGAGATGCCAATTATAGATGTCAGCTTCTCGGATCAAACGAGAGAGGGGTATTTTCTAGGCTGCCAGAAACATATAGAGATTATGTACCTCAAGATGGAAGGGAATACTGGATAGCTGCAATTAAAAAGACAACAGATCCAATCAAATTTAATCGTAAGAGAGAGAGAGAGAGAGAGAGAGAGAGAGAGAGAGAGAGAGAGAGAGAGAGAGAGAGAGAGAGAGAGAGAATAATAATTCATACGCATAACATCTGAATGAAATTGTTCATTAACAATGAATTACGATGAAGATAAAAATCATTTATAGTAGAGATTTTGAAAATCTACTTCTAAAGTTAATTAATCAAGTGTAAAGTTAATTAATAAAGTGTAAATTCTTGATTTTAAAATGTTTCAGTAGAAACATTTTCTATTAATTGTGATACATACATCTAATTTTAAAAGAAGTTAAAAGGACTGATGAGTATTTTCCAGCTTCTCTTGTATAAAGCAGTAGTCAATATTTGTGTTTCAGAGTATAATTTTTATGATATACATGTCATGCAATCAACGCATTTCAGCTGCTTTCGTTTTCTCCTCATTTAATCTTTTTTAAAAATCTTTATCATAGGTTGCATAGAAATTACCAATGACACCAAGGAAATAAAAACTTACCTAACTAGCACCACTCAACCAGTGTATGACTGCTACAATTTTTGTAATGGGTCAAGATTTGCTTTGTCAGTGAGTTTTCAAGAAATAATAAAGTTTCTTCTTCTAAAATATATTAAGACCATTCTTTATATACCAAATATTTGATAAAAAAGAAATCAGGAAATTTGTTTTCCCATATTTCTAACAAAACATTGTGATAATCATGATAAAGTTTATGACAGTTTATAATGTACTCCTATGTCAACAAAATGTGTCCACAAATTCACGAACTAAATCCAATGATTTTAATATTTTTTGGCACAATTACTGTATATACTTTCCTTCATTGAAAAAAAAATTATTTCTTTTCTTAAATTAATTTCACTAAATGTAATTAATGAGAGAGAGAGAGAGAGAGAGAGAGAGAGCAAAACACATACCAAGTGATATAATTTGAATGGATATCCATCATGTTAAATTTTCTTACATTTTCAGTATATGCTATGCGTTTGTAACAATTATCTGCGACTAAAATCAAAGATATTAAGTTGTAACACGAAATTATATGAAAATACACAAATGGACTTCTTTAGCGACAGAGGCTTTTTAGAATACCAAACACACCAATTTAGTTATCTACAAGGTAAGAATCAGTAAAGATGCCGTTATCATCCATTCCATTTTAAAATGCAAATATTCTGATTTTCTTTAAGGAGGCTGGGAGTCAACAAATTAATAAAAGATTAACCACCAGATATAACTTAAGTTTTTTAGATATGATATCTTTAGCTGTCAGCTATCATTTGAAAAGAAAAATCAAAGAAAATATCATACATATTAGTTTTAAAATTGTATCATTTTTGTATATCTTTATATGGAGCTCTTCTTCTATAGGAGATAGAAATAGTCTAAAAATGGCCACGACCACCCAGCCTCTTTAACATGCATATAACACTATCTGTGTTCAGTATTTTATCTAAAACAGCTCAAATACAACAGACGATACAACCACTTCTGAATGAGGTGCTCTCTTGTCGATTAATAAGAACAGTTTTTAGTACAGTAATGTTTGACTTGACAAGCATGTGTTTCTCTAGGCAGATTAACATTCACGAACAGAAGTGTAAAACAGATAAATTTGAAAATACATTGGGTAATTTTACATCAAATTTTGAAATTTCATTTGTGGATTTACCTTTAGACTTTTTATGACTGATTTTTGAATGGTTGTTTTCTTTTTAAGTTAATGGGACTGGAGACTGCGCGGCTGTTATTTTGGGACCTGATCAGGATAAAGGACTACTGAAGCATTATTTCCTTCCATGCAGTACAAAGCTTCCTGCTTTGTGTAAGTTCAAGAAAACTGCTGTTAAAACAAGACAAAACTGCAGATATTATTTTCGATGCTGCACATTGACAATAAAACATAACAATATATTTTAGATGTTAGAATATGGAGTCATTTATTATTTCTTTTGTATTCTCTTATTAAAACAGTTATTTTTCTAAAACTGGCGAATTTGAGTTATGTAATTTTATACAACGTTTTCCACTATACACATTTTTGAAGGATGATAATTATCATTTAGTTCATTTTCATGTATATTCTTTGTGAATGTACGTTGGTTGCTCTTATTGATTGATAATCCATAAATATTTCTTAGCACACCTTTTTTATTTAGACAAAATTTTATTCATAAATAATATAGTAAATGGGATTGGTCTGCAGACATAGCCTATTTTAGCCCTCTCCCTAGAGGGACGCTCTGGAAACACTTTTGATTCCTGCTGTGCAAATAAGTTTTTGTATATTCAAGAATTGTAAATTATATTTTTAACCTCCCAGGTGATTTGAGTAAAGAATAAACGTTTCATAAATGAAAATGTTTTGTTTCATAGGCATGGGTGATGGAATTAAAGAAGTTTTACACACAGAAAGTAGAAATTGGACTGAGTCGGTGTTAGCGTGTGATGGTCTTTTGAGGGGCTCTTTTGACGGATTTTATAACCTGTCGAATCCTCCGTCCAACTTCACAATGGCTTGGACGGGAATATTTAGGCGCAGCAAACTGCAGTGGAGTACAGGTATGAAAGTAAATTTTTTTCACCACTTATCTACATATAATTTCGATTCAGAAAAGAACATTTGTCATGCATGAAATCGGTCATATGATTTCTTCCTAAGCTAGGGCTTTCAAACATGTAGCATCTGATTGCAAGTGGATATGGTTTTAAGAAAAGTTTAAAATGTATTTTATTCAATGAAATGGATCGAACAGCAGGCATAAACGCCTATAATCGTTCTCTCCATAGTTTTAAGAAAAGTGAATCAGTTTAGAAAACAGCGGATTGGGTGTACCTTTGTGCCATTAAAAAGAACTCCTACGTATGCTATTAATTTTTTTTCAGCATGCGGTTTGATTTGAGATATCATTTCCCAATGTCTACTGTTTGGCATATTATTTAAAGAACCATTTACTACTGTAGTATATAAACGCATTATTTTAACACTGAATGATCTGTACAGTTCCTTGTTTCCCCGATTATGACAAGGAGCCCACTGATGGTGTAACGGTCAAATGGGATTCTCCTCCTTAATGTCACTTGATCCCATCTCTTACATATCAGAGTTCAGTATTTACTGCTCTAGATTTTTTTATTTGAATTAACCATTGAACTTGATAATTGTTTGTCATTTTCATATTTAATAAGAGCATTTGGATTTTGGAAGATAATTAAATATGTATGATTTTTATTTAATGCATACGTCTACATAATTGGCTATTTTAATAATATGCAGAGACAGTTGACATGGGAAAATGATATCTCAAATTAAGTCAACCGCATTTGGAAAAAAAAAACACAAAAATCTTCGCTTACTCCTATACGTGGCTGATCTTACATCAGGTTTCCAGGTGCCTGTGTTTTCATTTCTTCGCCTTTTTCAATCCCTTATATCACCAATTAATTTTTTAAAGAAGTTAATTTATCTGATTTGTTTCAAAGGCACCTTTTTAACATTAAAAAAAAAAAACAAATAAAGCCAATACTTTTGTAAAAAAAAAAAAAGTAGTCTGGTATGCTAATGATGTCATACTTTATTTTTCTAGGAAACGAAACAGCCCCATTTGAGTGCCTGGTCGTTAGTAAGAAAAATAAATCAGTTGTATCTATCCAGACTAAAAACTGCAGTGATCTACTGCCTTCACTATGTGAACGGGAAGGTAAAATAGGGTTCATAAACCCTCTATACTCACATATAAAATGTTGCTTTAACTTTTATGAGATATGTATTTTTGAAGTAAAATACAAACAGTTATAGCATACCTGCGGGTGCAAAATTGAACAAAATGACATTTCAACTTGAAAAATTTATAAAGAAATACATGTAATAGAACTTTTATGTCATTAAGGGTCATCTCTCTTATCAGAGTATCGATGAACCTTAAACTGCTATCAGAAGCGTTGTATTACAAAGGGATAGGTTGTGATTTTTAACGAGAATGGTCATCGATCGAACACTTTTAAAGAGACTATCAACAGACCACTGCATTTAATGATACTTATAAATAATACCCACTTTTGAGACTAAAATGCGAAATGTTAAAATATCGATCAATAATCAATCAAAAGTAAAGAATTATAAAAATCGTGTCCACAGGGCAAAAGCATTGACTGCCGAGTTCCCAAAACTAGTAAAAATTTTATATTGGACATTGATCGTTACGTGATTATGAACGTTTTTAAGTCTTCCAACAATATCAGAAATAAAAAATCTCTTCTCCCCTAAATCTGTATTATTTGGGTTTTGTGTTCATTTCCATATGTATTTTTTTTTATTAATAACATTAGACTTTCAAAGTTTGTACCAAGTGCTCAAAGGTAACTCATATTTCAGCAATTTCAAAAAATGTGGCTGATAGTCTTTATTCCACTTAATTTTTTTAATTTCTTATCGCATATTCCATATTACATTTAAATGTCCCAAACAATTATTTCTGGAGACGAGAATATCAACAATTTTGCAACACAATGGATAATGTGCCATACAAATCCCTCTGTGATTAAAAGTGATTATAAACTGATGATTAAAGTTTACTTTTCATGAATTAGATTTTTTCAAACAAAATTAGACTATTGTTCTTTAACATATGTTTTTAAGACTTCCCCCTTTTTTTTAACACCCGTATTACCCGCCTGATAAGAAATATTGACGGGTCATTTAGGACTTCAATCTTTCTGACAGTAGTTAGTCCTGTTAGTTAAGCATTCTCTGATCCCAATACCGGTTCTTGGATATTTTCTCCCAAATTGCAAAAAATCCAAAATTCCATTTTTAAAAAAAATCCCCTCAACCTTTTTTTTTTACTAAAAATTAAAAATATTTAAGAAAAACGGTTGTTTTAACATATATTTCTGTTATAAATATACATATTAAAGGTTCGTTTTGTTACAGAAATAACAATCAAGAGAATTAGGTTAGAAACAACAGCCCAGAGCATGGGGTTGGAAACAATAACCCAGAGCATGGAGTTGATCACGTATTCTGGAACACCACCTGAAGAATCCACACAACAGGAGATCAGAAGTTTCGCCGATTACAACCAATGCCATCCTGATGACAATGGCGAGCATTTAAAAAAATATATATATATTTAAGAGTTGCTTAAGCAGTTAAGAGAAGCAAAGAGGAAAATACTTTCAAGACAGGTCAAGGTCATCGATTGGGAAAAAATCCGTTTTAACATACTGATACTGAAACATGAGAATTGCGTTTATACTGAGTATTCAGCCAAAACATATCTGTAGTGCATTATATTTCACAAATCTGATGATACATGTACAAGGGATCAGATGAATTAGTTTAATAGAAATTGTGAAGATATTGACTTTTTTGTCGCCCATGTAGCTCCGAGGTCCCCTACTACAGTAGGTGCTTGCTCGGAACACACGCTTCACTGCGCCAAGACCCTAAGTGCAAAGAACAAGTTTGAATTTGAAGCACTCTGTCTGCATATGATGATATTTCATTATTTGTGAAAAATTCTCATAGTGAACATTAATTAAACAAACATAAAGAATCAAAGCATTTATATAAATACTTTAAATTCTACAGCAGTATTTATACTTTAAGTTCAAAAGCAAAATTTCTAAAATTATGAAATGCTGATACATGTATTCCCCGACCACCGTTCATTTTTTTTTTGTATCTCTATTGCAATGTCAACACATTATTCTTAGTAAAAGGTCCTGGCTTCTAACGTTTTTCACTCCCAGCTTTTATGTTTAACATTCCATCTACTTATAATACGATTTGTGGTCACGTAATGATTGTTTAAATTTTCAGGTGTTACAATTCTAGCTATTGGAAGCACTCTGATCATTATATCCGGGTTATTCTTCTTAGTCAGCTCCGTCATTCTATGGAAAGCCAGGAATATGACAAAAAGTATGTTCAATTACGCGTAGCATGTTATCATATAATAAACTCTTGGATTCAACCATCTAAAGCTCTTTTTTAATATAATGTTTTCATGTTATAAGCTCTTGGTTTCACAATGATTTGAATGTACAGTATTTAACTATCAGAGGCTCTTTATTTATATGATAATGATTTCTTACAATTATTTACAGGCGCAAAAATTGCAATGATCAGGTAGTGTAGTTTAATGTCTTTCATTGTGAAATGAATTTTACGTCATAAAATCATTGACTTCAAGAATTTTAAGGTTCTTTTAACTGAGGATAAATTTTATTAATTTATAGGAGCACCTATGACTCAGTAAATATGGTGTCAGCTTCATCCAACTACTCTCCACTTGGTATGAACAATAATAATTAATAGAAAATTCACAAAATATACGAGAAAAGATACTTCTACTTACAAAATTTCTTTAAATCAAATATCTCTCCATCAATTGTTTTCAATTCGGGAAATGTGAACTGATTGGTATTTAACTAATATTTTAAGAATTTTCAACAACAACAATGCCTCATTCGTCGACGAATCAAGGAAATGATGAGTACATTCTGCCTTTTTCATAAAAATAAAGATACAGGTGAAATAAGATTTTAAACAAAAGGGTAAAGAAATGGAGAGAGAGAGTTTGGGAAGACAAATGGAACACATTTCCATTTCCATTTCAGGGTTTTTGGACATTTGGATCCTAAAAGTTCCTTCATGTATTAAATATTCGTATGTACTAGTAATTCATAAAGGATAAACGCACTTTTGACTACGATATTAGTAGGGTAAAATTATTGAAGTAATGCAATTTTCTTTTGACAAACTACAAGGTTGTTTTAATCCATTTTGTTAATTTCCTTTTAAAACGATCCTTATCCATGCTGAGCAACTCATTAAATAATTATTTAGTTGAATAAGTTTGTAAACAAAACTTTAAACTGAAATATCTTGTGTATCAATTTTTATATCGTACATCGTAGTATGGTTAAAAATTCTTTGACGTCTCATACTCGGTCTTGTAAAAGGTAGATAGAAATAACAAAAACTGATATTTTTAATGAAGTTTGTTTTTCATCATGTTATCATGTCTTTTTAAATAGAATTATTATTTGTTAGTATGATATTATAAAAGTGTGAGTGACCTTTGACACCTTGTAATAAGTATGCTCTGTATTACTATGTATCCCAGCTTTGATGTTTTGGAGGTCCGAGTTTGCTCTGAACAGTGGGACGGACAACTTCGGAATGGACATTTTTCCGAACTTGCGCACCCTTTTCCTTTAAAGCTATCATCTTAGGGTTTTTTTTAAATGGTGGGGTTTTTATAATCAAATTGATTTATGAAAAAAAAATTCAACATTTTCTGCTAGTTTTTGAGATATTTGAGTTCAAAAACAAAAATCCCATGGGGAAACATGAACTTAAAAATACCCCACCAAAAACCCCACAAAAACCCCATGGGGTTTATTTTTCACCCCATGGGGTAAATAACCCCACGAAAATCAATGTAGGTTTTTTAAACCCATATGTTGCTTATTTTGTCATATGGGGTTTTTTCTCCCACGTTTCTTTATCATGGGGTTTTAAATCCCATGTATTGATATATTTACTGTAAGATAATTCCTAAAAACTTGGGTTTTTTTCTTAGACTAATGGATCATTAGTATCTTCTCTGTTTCTCATTTTATAAAAGTTGATAGTTATAACAAATATCTATTATTTTTCAAATTTTCAAGTATTCATTCTTCAAATTTTTGCTTATGTAAAAGAAGATTTATATGAAAACAGGTTTCTAAGGCAGTTGCCTCCCAAAATGAAACATTCATCATAAAACTCTTCACAGATTATTTGATCGATGACCATTAATCTGAATATTTAAAAAAATGAAACAAGAAAATTTAATACCAACACAATAGCAACCAATTCACAGTGTCCAAAGAGGGTCTCTTTCCTTAACTAATGTATATTTATATATGTTAGGTTTATATGATGTCTAGTTTGTGGATTTTTTAAAATCTCCATTCCCCTTGCATTCACCACTAATAAGACTGGATTTATTTAATTCATGTGCAATATATCTACATATTTAATTAATGGAGTTATATATAATCACAAAGTACAACTATTAAAATCTTTTGATTCACTCAAATATTTAAAAATAAAATATTTATGCCTCTTGGATCCACCACTTATCAGTTTAGATCATGACCACACATGACATATAATCTTAATGCTTAAAATCAATCAGCCATATCAAGGATATTAATGACTATGGCATAGTCATTAATATCCTTAATACACCACAAATATTTCTTTAAAAAATGAATATCCACTCCCCATGGATCCACCACTAATAAGTTAAGTTCTTGATCACACATGACATGTAAGATTAAAGTTTGAAATAAATTAGCCATAATCATTATTATCCTTTTACCCACCACAAATATTTAAAAATAATATCCGCTCCCCTTAGATCCACCACTTTTAAATTAAGATCATGTTCACACCTGACATAAAAGCTAAATGTTTGAAATAAATTAGCCATAATCATAAATCATTAATATCCTTTGATCACCCATACCGAAAAAAGTTATAACTAAGTTATAACTAAAGTATAACTTAGTTATACCTAGCCTGTGAGGTACAAAAAAGTTATAACTAAAATGTAACTTTTTTGGACTTTGTCATTTTCATGTATAACTAAAATGTAACTTTTTGGACTTAGCCATTTTCATGTGTAACTAAAACATAACTTTTCTGGACTTTGTCATTTTCATGTATAACTAAAATGTAACTTTTTGGACTTAGCCATTTTCATGTATAACTAAAACATAACTTTTCTGGACTTTGTCATTTTCATGTATAACTAAAACATAACTTTTCTGAACTTAGCCATTTTCAAGCATTACCAGTATAAATTTACAAGTTTTGGGGGTTATTGAATGGATACTACTTGACACCAACTTTTTTTTTTTCAAAAATAACATATAAACTAAGTGTTAATTTGAATGAATTTTGATCGTGTTCAAAATGTTTTTTTTTTTCAAACACTGCAGCAGAAAACTTTGTCAATTCCTGAACAATAATATTGTTTACTACCAGTGATCGACTTCTCATTCATAATACCGGTAAATATGCTGTCCACAGCCATGTCAAGTTCAACAGAAGGGATGTGAATAAAATCTTGTGAATTACATCTATAAATGAGAAACTCTCTCTCTCTCTCTCTCTCTCTCTCTCTCTCTCTCTGTGGTGTTTGAGGGTGTGTAATAAATATTATTGTCTATTTAAATTGATATTGGTCATGTAAGTTTCAACTAAAGTTGAGAATAATTAATTTCTCTCTCTCTCCTTCTCTCTCTCTCTCTTAGAAAATACGTATTTATTGAGACCCTGATGAGACATAATATTTGTCTTGTAAATTATAATAATGCACTTACATCTGAAGTTGGGAATGAATATATTTCATAATTCTGGGGAAATATAAATGTACTGCAAGAGATATAAACAGTATGAAATGTAATCTCATGAAGTCTTCGTGTGCAAAACTGTGTAAATTTCCCTATTGTTTTCTGTGAGACAGGTGTTTGTACTAGGTGACCTTTGTGGCCAACACATCGTAAATATTTCAGCTTGGGTATTACACAATCTCTGAATGGTACAATTCTACACAGGTTGTTTGAAATCTGCAGAAAATCAGTCGTAATATGGGTGGCTAAAAAGATAAACAGCAGCATAGAGTATGTGCATGTTCATGTTGAACAGATATTACGATGTTGTGAATAAAGACTGCCACTTATATTAAGATTTAAGCAGATGACTAGTACATGTAGATTTTATTGTTTGCATAATTAAATAACCCAGTTATAATAGTTATTTTCACAAATAAACAAATATTAAATTCAAAATGGCGGCAAATATGGCGGCCGCCGGCCTCCGATGTCCATTTTGTTGATACTAAGATAAATTCAAAATTTTAACACCAACTGGTATTTATATTTTTAATTTAAGGTTGAAATTACACAATTATGTTTATTTGCATTTAAAATAAATTAATAATGAATTATTTATTTATTTTTTTCGATCACGTGACGTTTTTGAGTTCTATGATTGGTCAATAACAGAGCGCGGATTTTTCCATGGACGATTTGAATGTTTGGATGTTGAAAGTGTTGATAGAAAAAAAGGAGATAAAACCAGTTGGTAAGGCGATATTCATGCTAACATTTTATTGATTTTGGTAAAGTAGACTTAGTACCTCTGGAATAACATTCCAAAAAGAAGAAATATTGGGAATGAACACAATTCTAGGCGTGTGAATCTTAGATTTCTTGTTTGTTTTGATTGGTATGTCGAATGACAAAGACTGAAGTAAACAAATTGAAAGAATTTGAAACGCATAATATTTTTCAGCATTTAGTATATTAATCAAATATGTTCTTTGTCATATTTATTCCCACAATTGTTTATAGATTCCCTGATCTGTTAAAATATTGTGAAGCCTTATACACATCAGCATGATCATAACATGATCTAGCTGCAATGTTAATTTAAATGCAATGAAATGAGTAATTTAACATTAATTTTCTTTTTTTTATAAAGCAGAATATTGGTACATGATGTTTCCATAAGCTGAATCTGTCCTGCCCTGGAGTACATGAAATTCTTCACAATATTACTTGTTTAAGGTAAAGTAAATTTTTTTTTCATTTCAAAATTCAATGAATCTTTCAATCTAAAACTGATTCCTGTAAGTATAGATCTTAAATTAGTCTTGTATTTTCCATGTTTTGGATGAATTAATGAATTTGAATTAATTGATATGGAAGAGTGTTTTCAATTTGATATGCAAATGAGTGCTGGAAAAATACTATCTAAATATCTTTAATCTAAATTTTGAACCTTTACAATTTTTTTCAGAATTGAAGAAAAGGTTAAAATTGCAAGCATATTTCAACGAAAACTTAGCCGACTACCAGTCACACTGCCCACCAGCCAAGACGTCTGACCAGCTAAAATGAGGGACGCAGTCCACCAGCCAAGTCCCTCGGCCAGCTCGGCTGACCCAGTGCGGCCTGTCAAGGGATGACCAAGTCCATCAACTAGCTCGGCTGACTACCAGTGCGGCCTGTCATTGAACAACCAAGTCCATCAACTAGATTGGCTTACTACCAGAGCGGCTTTTCAAGGGATGGTCAAGTCCGTCAACTAACTTAACCTACTACCAGTGCCGCATGTCAAGAGATGGCCAAGTTCGTCAACTAGCTCGGCTTACTACCGGTGTAGCATAATATTTTGATACCGCGATATATTGAACCCGGGTTCAAAATATCGCATAATATTTTGAACCCGGGTTCACTTTTTCGCTGCGATATATTGAACCCCCTTATAAAATATTGAACCCCTACCTTTTTCATTAAAGAGGTAGGGGTTCAAAATATTATGGCCATAATATACTGAGTCCCCCTGCCCATTTAATTTTACAGGAAGTGGGGTTCAAAATATTATGGCCATAAAATATCGAGTCCCCCTGCCCTTTTTAATTTTTGGAGGGAGGGGGTTCAAAATATTATGGCCATGAAATATTGAACCCCCTGCCCTTTTTAATTTTAGAGGGAGGGGGTTCAAAATATTATGGCCATAAAATATTGAACCTCCCTGCCTTTTTAATTGATGTGGGAGGGGGTTCAAAATATTATGGCCATAAATATCGAGTCCCCCTGCCCTTTTAATTGATGTGGGAGGGGGTTCAAAATATTATGGCCATAAAATATCGAGTCCCCCTGCCTTTTTTAATTTTAGAGGGAGGGGGTTCAAAATATTATGGCCATAAAATATCGAGTCCCCCTGCCCTTTAAATTTAAGAGGGAGGGGGTTCAAAATATTATGGCCATAAATATTGAGTCCCCCTGCCCTTTTAATTGATGTGGGAGGGGGTTCAAAATATTATGGCCATAATATTTTGAACCCCCATTCCCTGTAAAGTTAAATGGGTAGGTACTCGATATTTTATGGCCATAATATTTTGAACCCCCTCCCTCATAAATTAAATGGACAGGGGGACTCGATATTTTATGGCCATAATATTTTGAACCCCCTCACTCTTAAATTTAAAGGGCAGGGGGACTCAATATTTTATGGCCATAATATTTTGAACCCCCCTCCCTGAAAAATTAAATGGGCAGGGGGACTCAATATTTTATGGCCATAATATTTTGAACCCCCCTCCCTGTAAAATTAAATGGGCAGGGGGGCTCAATATTTTATGGCCATAATATTTTGAACCCCCTCCCTGTAAAATTAAATGGGAAGGGGGACTCGATATTTTATGGCCATAATATTTTGAACCCCTCCCTCATAAATTAAATGGACAGGGGGACTCAATATTTTATGGCCACAATATTTTGAACCCCGGGTTCAATATTTTATAGGGGGGTTCAATATTTCGCAGCGATATTTTGAACCCGGGTTCAAAATATCGCGGGGTTCAATATATTATATGACACCGGTACGGCCTGTCAATATAGGGACGGTTAAGACCGTTGACTAACTTGGCCTTCTACCAGTGCGGCTTGTCAAGGGACGTTTAAGTCCGTCAACTAACTTGACCAACTACAGATGTGACCTGTCAAGGGATGGCCAAGTCCGTCAACTATCTTGACCAACTACCAGTGCGGCCTGTCAAACGATGGCCAAGTCCTTCAACTAACTTGGTCTACTACCAGTGCGGCCTGTCAAACGATGGCTAAGTCTGTCAGCTAACTTGGTCTACTACCAGTGCGGCCTGTCAAACGATGGCCAAAGCCTTCAACTAACTTGGTCTACTACCAGTGATGCCTGTCAAACGATGGCTAAGTCTGTCAGCTAACTTGGTCTACTACCAGTGCGGCCTGTCAAACGATGGCCAAAGCCTTCAACTAATTTGGTCTACTACCAGTGAGGCCTGTCAAACGATGGCTAAGTCTGTCAGCTAACTCAGCCAACTTTCAGTGCAGCCTAACTTTCAGTGCAGCCTATCTTCAAATAATAAAGATAAACAACTGTACACCTGCAAGGATACCTGTGCAAGGAGGGTTGTATGCAGCTAGAAACTGTGACTGAAATCACTGTTTATAGAACCTTTCTTTTTTTTTTGAAATACAGCTAGATCAAAAATAAATAGGGTGTTAATATTTAAAAATTAGTGATGTCTGTTTATACAATTAGCAAGAGTAGAATGCAGTTTGCTAGGTAATTTTACAAAGACCCTAATTGCTATATGCTAAAAATGTATTCTTTAAAACAACCAGAGAAATTTCAATCTGTTGTAGATGACATGATGTAAAATAAGGTACACTTGAATTTTTAAAACAATTGCATGTGCATTCATTTAGTTGTATTTGACAATAAACCAAGCTATCTTTATCGTGTTTGTTAGGTAAAATTGTTATTGCCTTTAATATGTTTTAAATAATCTTTTTTGTATAAATTTCAAAAATCTTATTTTTTTTTTAAATTTTAATGAGTAGCTTTTTAAAAGCTTATAACTGAGTAAATCCACAACAGGTTAATAGTGTATAATTTCACTGGAACTTTTACGAAAGTTTTTATTAATAGGTATAACTTTTTATAGTTATAACTTTTTGCAGTTATAACTTTTTTTAGGTATAACTTTTCTATAACTTTTTCATAACTTTCTTGGGGTATAACTTTTTTGTAACTTTTTCATAACTTTATAATAGGTATAACTTTTTTTAGTTATAACTTTTCCTGGGTATAACTTTTTCCGGGTATAACTTTTTTGTAACTTTTTCATAACTTTTTTTGGGTATAACTTTTTTGTAACTTTTCCACTGTTTATTTGGGTATAACTAAAGTATAACTTTGTAACTATTTTATAACTTTTTGTGTAACTTTTAATAAGTATAACTTTTTGTAGTTATAACTTTTTTATAACTTTTATGTACTTGCTGTATTTATGTTCAATAAAAGGTGAAAAGTTATGAAAAAGTTATAACTTTTTTGTAACTAAGTTATAACTAAATTATACCTCACTTAAAACATGCCATTCCAAACTCCGATAACTTAGTTATAACTTTTTTGTAACTTTTTTTAGTTACAAAAGTTATAACTAAGTTATAACTTTTTTCGGTATGGGCATTCACAAATATTTAAAAAAGATAAATATCCACCCCCCTTGGATCCACCACTTATGAGTTTTGATCTTGATCACACATGACATACAAGTTTAATGTTTGAAATCAATTAGCCGGAATCAGTAATGTCCTTTTACCCATCACAAATATTTAAAAATAATATCCACTTGCCTTGGATCAACCACTTTAAAATTAAGATCACGAGCTAAATGTTTGAAATAAATTAGACATGATCACAATTCATTAATAACCTTTGATCAAACACAAATAATTAAAAAAGATAAATATCCACTCCCCTTGGATCCACCACTTATAAGTTTAGATCTTGATCACACATGACATATAAGCTATATGTTTGAAATCAATTAACCATAATCATTATTATCCTTTGACCTATTACAAATATCTATCTACTCCCTTTACATCCATCACATCTCTTATGGCTATCAAAACAATTAATATCCACTTGCCTTGGATCCACCACTTCTTAGTTAAGATCATGATCACACACAGAAATACTAACTAAACGTTGAAATAAATTTGCAAAAATCATTAGAATCCTTTGATCCACCACATGTATTTAAATATCAACTCCCCTTGGATCCACCGCTCATAAATTTAGACTATAATACATGACTTATAAGCTAAATGTTTGAAATCAATTAGCCATAATCATAATTAAAAAAGATGAGACAAATATCTCATGTCGCTTTGTCTTAGGTAAATGAGAAAAGCAATAAACGAACGAAAATATTACAACCTACAGTATTCCCTTAGATCCACCATCATGTCTTTAGATATTGATCACCAATCTGATTTATTCTTCTTTTTTTATCATTAGGTTAGGTATCTTTATTATTTTTATGAATGAATGAATATTATGAAAAATGAAATTAATTGCATCTCTATGCTACTCTGTCTGAATAAAAAAAAAAGCTGAAATAACCACTTAATATCAGCCAAAAAAAGCAGGTACAATGAATATGATTAAATAAGACAACATATACATTGTATACATGTACTACGCCTTTACAGTATCTTATTTACTACTAGTAATTTTTTTAAGTTTATACCTGTCATCAACCAGCTCGACTGTTAAATCTACATTGGATAACGAATCAATTTAGGCTTTACATAGATCATGTACATTATAATTATTAGTAATATATAATTGGAATTCCTCGAAAATTCTTTGTTTTCTAATTAGAAAAAAAGAAGTTCTGAAATTATTAAAACTAAATTTTCATCCTGCAAGGTGCAGTCAGGCAATATTGATCTCATTCTGACAATATCACTTTTTTTCATTGAAATAGATCTACATGTATGTCAAACATGATATTTCTTTTTCTTATGATACTTAAACTTTCTAACTATAAACTAAATTATTGTAAGAAGACGTTTATTTTTACAGAAAGCATCTATATGCATTATCAGGTCAAGGTCAGTCAATCCCTTTTGATGACTTCTTTTGATTTTTGTCCCCCACCTTAGCGAATAAGAGAGGACATTAAATCTTATTCATCTGTCATCTGTTAAATGGTCAGCTTATCAATGTCACAAAAACTTAAACTTTGGTCATATCTTTTGAATGAGATGAGATAGGGCTTTCAACATGTTCAAATTATACATGTATTACCTGTGCGAATTATTCCTTTCTTAATACAGATTACACTATCATGATTTTTCACCATTATATCTTGACCTTGAAGTATGACATACTTTTCATAAATATTAATTCTTCCTTATGACTTTGATTTAGAAGTCTTTAGAGATAGGTTTTTCATATGTCTGTTGCAAGATATTTCTGAGCATGCTATGATTTCTTACCCCTTGACCTTTATTCATGTTTGACCTAATTAGAAAAAAAAACTTTGGAGCTACAGTAACTCTTCAATAAGGTATTTCCATACATGTCGTATGATTGGTACTTTGTTTTCAAAGTGATAATTTTTGGTTCACAGTTTTTTAAAAGGAAAATAGAAATTTCACATCTATATCACTGCAGTTGTTAAGATCCACCCTTGTGAGTACCCCATAAAAGTACATGCAGGGATTAATTATTGAACTCATTCGCACAGACCTTATGTTATAGAATCCATAAATAAACTGAACTTGAACTTGATTAACCTTAGACAGGC